ACTATATAATTACTATATTAATTATTAATAAAATGTAATAAATCACATGCATCTTAGATTAAACTTTATCTTAAATTATACACAAGTGTTTTAATTATAATTAAACAAAATATGCAATTACCAACAAACAAGCAAAAATTTGATTTAATTAATCATTAAACAAACGTTTTAATCCATTTTCAACAGTCATCCTCAGGTTTCGAAGTAATGAATATTTGTCCAATGAATACAAATTCCAAACAAACATTTTGAAAAAGTTGCACATTGTGAAAATACATTCATGCTCAATGTCACATTTAACAAGGTTAATTTAGACTTCAAAACAGCTTCCAGTTTTAAAAAAATACTAAATTTATGTAAAATACAACAAAATCTGACCAAAATCTATTACACGTCAAAGCATGCCTTCCACATGGCTGCAAATAAGTCCATTTCTTTAAAATTAATTGCTGTCCTCCTCCTAAATGTTTTAGATATTTTGAGTTGTTCAAGATATTTCAGGTTGGCAGGGTCATCACAACATTGTAGTAATTGGGCCTTGTCAAATTTAACATGTATATTGTTATCACCGGTGAAAGCAGACAGTGTGGTAGTGGATAGATCTCGCCAAATCATATATTTATGCTCCCTGATCCTCATTTTTAGACCACATGCAATAAAGCTCCAATATATTCACATGGACAATCTACCCTATGATCGTTAAGAGAGATAGTATAGACTCGGGATACAATTCTGGACCAATTGGTCCTTATCGTTTCTAATACTAGAGAAAACAGTAGATCATCTCCTGTACACAATCCTATTACTTGTAAAGCATGATATTTCTTTGTAGATGTTGGCAAGGATCTTATTATAAGTAACATGTAAAAAGGGCTCGTCCTTTGGTTGCAATGTTTCGGCCAGATGCTTCTGGCATACAAGAGCATTGATAAGGTGTGATGGATATCCATGCTGCCTGGCTATGTTTGAAATATAATCCAGCTCTATTTTCCTATCTTCCGCCATATTAACTGATCTATAGAAATGTACTCAATGTTACATTTCACACACAGAAGTTATGATCAATAATACATAATTTTATTGACAAGACTATGTCTTGTTTATAAAATTGTACTGCCTGTTGTGTTACCAACTTAGAAGTATGAAGGAGTACATGTCAGGAGTTGCAATTTGGCACAGAGTATTAGGTACCCAAATCATGCATGTATAAAAAACCCAGACTTGTAGTAGTCAGGGGACTTAGAATCTAACTAGAATACAAAATGGCGACTCTCTCTACAAACAGGCAAACTGAAGTCAGATGGTGAGAGTACCACCCACAGTTGTTCTAGGAAGT